GATGTGTTTCTATTTCTATTTAAAATTTCTATTTATATATCTTGTCCATATATATATATATATATGTAACATTTATATATATATATACATAGACATATATATATATATATATATAATTTCACACTATGTAGGACTCTCAAGTCCCACTCACCTAAACATAACTGTGTAAACTAATTCTAAACTACCTTCAACCAATACTTCGCTTAAACGGGATAGTACGACTTATATACCCTCGCATACGCCTTCAGGAAACCATAGCAGCTGCACTGCAACTTAACGCCAACCGAGCCAACACGGCTGTGGTTGAACGGCTACAACAGTCGCTATCACAGAGAGAGGGGGATGTGCAGTCACTTAAGAAGAAGCTTGTGCGTGCCGAAGCAGCGCAGGCCACCCAGGTGTATGGAAATGGACTCAAAGAGGCCTTTAATATGGTGTGTGGGTGTATGTTTGTTCATTCAATAGGGTGTGTGGGTGTATGCTTGTTCATTTAATAGGGTGTGTGGGTGCATGCTTGTTCATTTGATAGGGTGTGTGGGTGCATGCTTGTTCATTTAATAGGGTGTGTGGGTGTATGATTGTTTAGTTGGACTATAAGAGGCATTTAATAGGGTGTGTGGGTGTATGCTTGTTTAATTGGACTATAAGAGGCATTTAATAGGGTGTGTGGGTGTATGATTGTTTAATTGGACTATAAGAGGCCTTTAATAGGGTGTGTGGGTGTATGATTGTTTAATTGGACTATAAGAGGCCTTTAATAGGGTGTGTGTGTGTACACTTATCTACGTGTATATTTGTGAATATGGTCACAAATGGTGGTGTATAGGCATGTGTAGATAGATGGTTTTAGGGTTTAGGGTTTAGATGGTGACAGACACTTTAAATGCCGCGCGTGCACTCGCCCTCATTCGATACAAACTCTAAACCCTAAAACCCTGCGTCTTGGTTAAACCCCCCGACTCGCTCTACTCTTACGTATTGTCTATTCCGAATATCACGCCTTAAACCCAATTCTCCACTCTGGAATTTACAAACTTTCTGTTCTCGACCTAATTCTGCGCCCCGTTTCGTTTGGAACGGCCGCTCTCGTCCTAAAATGAAACTGATTTTTGGGGTCAACCCCTCATCTACACACAGCACAAATCAAATGGCGACGCCTACGTATCTTACTTAGAGGCCCAATTGGATGTGCAGAGTCGACTGGAAAAGGTGTGGTTGACATATATGATGTAGTACTTAATAGTACTTATAGGACTACAGAAGGTGTGGTTGACATATATGATGTAGTACTTAATAGTACTTATAGGACTACAGAAGGTGTGGTTGACATATATGATGTAGTACTTAATAGTACTTATAGGACTATAGAAGGTGTGGTTGACATATATAATATAGTACTTATAGGACTATAGAAGGTGTGGTTGACATATATGATATAGTACTTATAGCACTATAGAAGGTGTGGTTGACATATATAGTGTAGTA